CCCCCGGGCCTGGCCTGGCCGCGCCCCGCCCCCTCCCCACGGATCCGCCCGCCCTTTGTCCCCCGCGGCCGCCGCCCGAGCCGCCGCTGCCGAAGCCGCTTTCTCTGTCTCGCTCTCTTCCTCCGCCCCCGACCACACCCCCTTAAAGGGCCAGCCCCGCTCCAGGCCCCTCGGCCCAACCCCGCCTCCTGAAAGGGGCTAGGGGAGGGTCTAGCCGGCAGGGATGAGGGCTGGCGGGCCGAACTCGGTAATTTAGCCTTTCTAGGCGCGGGGTACCAGGATCCGGCACGCCCACCAGGACCCTAATCCTTTTCTAAGGCTCCAGGTGCCAGGATCCGCATGCCCCCCAGGACCCTAGTCCTCATTCTGCTACTGAGGCAGGAACAGGGGCCATTGAGCGAGCACCGGGTGCAAGGGTGCAGGGCCGGCGAGGGACACCGGACAACGTGCTGCCTGGGTCGTGCTACCCTTGGTCAGCCAGGGGCGAGGGGACTTCTCCGCGAAGACCGACACGTGGATGGAGTTTCCGATGAAGAATGCAAAAGGCGGCCAGGAACGGCCCAGGTAGCCGGGCACCCTAAGTGGCCGGGCCCTTCGCCCCCCTACGAAGACGCCCAGGGTAGGAGCCACCAGAGTCAGTCCTTTGCCTACAAGGGCTAGACAGCCACCGCCCACTGGCCGAGATGGCGACGCGCGCTGAACTGTGGGAGGTGTAGTCCACGCCGCGGCCCCGGCCCCGCGTGGCCGTCCCTCCCAGCTGCGGAGCCGGCCACAGAGCGCAAACTTGTTTGGGGCGCGCTCCTCCCGCCGGCCGGGCTGGGCTGGGCTGGGTGCGGCTCTCGGTTCCCCACAGCTTGAGCATGTGCAAAGGAGGAAACTCCGGCGCTAAGAGCTGGCATGAGGGGGAACCGAGACTCAAGATAATAAAGGTAATAATAGCAGTTGACCCAGAATGAGCGTTTATCCCAGCCTGGTCTGTTCCACCGTGAGGGCAGCGAGCTAGCTCTCCCCGCAGCTCCTCTGTCCCGCAGAAAGGAAAGGAGGTTGCGCATCCCATTTCTCACTCTGTCTGCATCTTTAATTCGTCTCATTCATTCGTTTGTCTGTCTCCCATTTCTAGACACTGAGCTCCTGGGCCCCAGAGCCCTGAGGAACTTGTTTGCCGATACCCAAGCTTGGGTCAACCTGTTTCTTGTCAAACTCACAGGCATAAGGAAACTGCCCGGCCCCCGCAGATCCCCAGCACCTAGAACTGTCATATTCGAGGCAGGCGACTCCACCCCATTTACTGAATAAATGACCTTAAAAGAATGAACAGTTTCCTCTGAAGGCGGTGGGTAAGATTAAACAGGAAAACCGTGGAAAGTGCAATTGCGACAACACAGAGTTAATGAAGTCACAGGGCTAGATAAAAGGAGAGCTGGGATATTTGAGCCCAGGCTCTATGAGTCACCCCAGCCCTGCAGGGTCTCCACTAGTGTCCCTGTCCCTCTCTCCATACCAACGAACGAAGTTATACAGCCTGGGATGTCTCTATGGCTAACTGGCTCTCCCCGGTTGTCCCAAACAGTCTCCTATCCTAGATACAGCAGGTACTAGCCCTTTATAGACATCTTTTCTGTGGATGCTGCAGGGAGAGATACCTCTGAGCAGGTGGAGTTCAGAGAGAGGTACATATGGTGCTGTATTCAAACTCGAACCCAGGACTTCAAGCTCCTTTTAAAAAAATTATTTATTTATTTATTATTTTTATTTTATGTGTATGAGTGTATTGCCTGTATGAAGGTAGGTGGGCCTGTGTCGTGCAATGCCCACAGAGGTCAGACGAGTGCGTCAGATTCCCTGGAATTGGAGTTAAAGACGGTTGCTAGCTGCCTTGTAGGTGGTAGGAATTGAACCCAGGTCCTCTGCAAGAGCAGCCAGTGCACTTAACTGCTGAGCCATCTCTCCAGCCCTAGGCTCCTTCTTTATGCTATAGAGAGGAGTCACAAAGAGAAGACAGGAACTGGGGATGTATGTAGCTCAAGAGCATTTGCCTAGCATGTGCAAGGGCATGGATTTCTCACAAACACTGCAAAAATGGAAAATAAATAAACTCAGCACCACATAAAACTGGGTGTGATGGTACACAGCTGTAATCTCAGCAGTGGAGGCCAAGCCCAGAGGATAAAAGTTCAAGGCCATCTTTGACTATGTAGTGAGTTGGAAGCCAGCCTGAGATACATGAGATCTTGTGTGAATAAATTAATGAATTAATTAAATGAGAAGACAGAGGTTGGGAGTGGTAGTTGTATGTGTGAGGGTAGGAGCTGGGCTTTTTACTGAGGAGACTGGGTGAGAACCAGCTCCTTAGGCTCAGTCCAGGGGAACCACTGAGTAGCCTGATACCCAGCTCCTTCCCCAGCCCATCCCCTGATATTAGCCTTCCTTCAGCTAGCCTGTAGGGCCAGGGATGGCTGACCTTTGTCCTTGCAGATTAGGCAGGACCTGCTTCTCCAGAGCCTGGCCTCTTCTTCCTCACCTGGACTAATAATGGGAGAGTCACTTCACCTGGGTCCAAATACCCTCTCCACCCCACCTCACTCCACCAGGGCAGGGCAGCTCTTTTTGATCCCCAGCATTGGTTTGTGCCTTGGAAGAACTCAGATTAGAGATACTTAAATGGCCCTTTCTGCTAAATAGCTACTGTGTGAGTGGTCTATGACCCAGAGGACCTCTAGCTCCACCTTTGCTCCAGAGATGCTGACATAGAGCACTGACTTTTCTGTCCCTTGTTCCTGTCCCCTCAGGGTTGGTGTGAAAGTCTCCAGTTCAAATGCCAGGGCCCCCTCTTGGCCATGCCCACTCTGCCTTTCCCTCTGGCAACCTCCTGTGGCATCTCCATATTCCTGGGGCTGACTTCTCTGTCTTGTCCATTGCTGTGACCATTCACCATGAGAAGAAAGATCGATGAGAGTGCTGGCCTGAAGCCTTCTTAGTACCTGGGTTGCCCTGCACAGAACCCTAGCTTTGGAGCACAAGGGACAGGGTTCAAATCCTGCCCAGGAAGCCCAGAGGTGGGCCAGCAAGTCACTCATGTGCCTGGGACCCTCTTCCAGGAGGCAGAGGATCCTGATCTCCCTGTGGCCCAGAGCTCAGGGTCCTGTCACTGCTTCTGTGTCTCAGCCACTAGCTGTCCTAGGACTCGACTATTCCTAGCCTCGCATCCAGCCTCAGGCTGTACCCTCCTATCCCTCCTATGCCCCACCCCTCCCCGGGTTGTGTGGCCCCCTCCCACCAGAATGCAGCTAAGGATGTGCAGCACCTCCCTGAAGCAGAGGCCCTGGGGAGGGTCCCGTGGGCCAGGACTGCTCCCTTAATTGAGGGTAGAGGCCGGAAAGGCCGCCTTCGTTCCACCATTACTGCTTGCCGAGAAACCCCATTACCATTCCAGAGCTGGAAAAGTGGCCAAGGAGGGGGAAGGAGCCTTCTAATGGGGGGCTGCCTGGCCTCAAGAGACTGGCGGTAGAGGAAGAAAAGGGCCTAGCCCAGCAACAAGCTTCCATCCTGTTTTCCAAGGAGCTGCTTCCCAAAGCTTCTGTGAAGGTCTCCTGTCCAAGGCCTGAGGTTCAGGCCACCTCACCTCAAGCCCTGACTCTAGGCTCTGCTAACCTTGTGCTGGTGATCAGGGTCCCCATATTGGAGCTGACCCATCCCCCTTCCTCCCTGATGTCCCCAACACCTTTTGTCCTCTTTGTCACACTATAGAGGAGGTTCCCTGCCCATCCATATGCTTATTTCATTCTGACAAGCCCTATAGGGCTCATGGACAAGGGGACTGAGGCAAAGATACTTTCTTGCTCAAAAGCCTTGGATTTGAACCCAGGCCTGTGGGTAACAGAGGCCAACTTCTACCCTGCATGGCTCTGTTCTCCCAATGAGGTTGGTGGTCCCTGGGTCTCTGTCTTTCCAACCTCTACAAGAGGAGGAGGATCAGAGAGGCCTGTCCTCCTCTTTTTGTCTCCTGGGCAGGATACAGAGTCAGTAAGTCAAAAAGAAGGTTGAGGAAGCTGTGTGACCTTGGGCAAGTCCCTTCCCCTCTCTGGGCCTCAAGTAGAGATAATAATTAATCACACCACACAAGGCCACAGCCAAAGACAAGGAGACTCTTTAAGTTGGCCACCAGTGTGGTGGGGATTTGGAGAACAGCCAGTGCCAGACAGGACTCCCCTTGAGGTCTGACAGCCTGGGGCAAAGGGGCCTGTAGGGAAGCTCCTTGGCTGACCCTCCTCCCCCAGAGCCAGCTCCAACTCTTTCTGGGTTTCTAGGTGACTCGGCTGGCCCCTCTGGATGAGTTCTACTTTAAACCTGCTGCTGCTGCCACCTCTATATTGGGGGGGCTCCCACAGGGGCCCTCAGGCAGGAGCCCCCCCAGCCAAGCCCTGCGGGAGGGGCTGTAGCCCCCACGCACCCCAGTGCCCATGTGCCTTCCTGTTCTGCTCCTCCCATTGCTGGAAGACAGATTTCAGGGCACTTGCTGAGGACCAAGCCTGCACAACCCCTGCTTTGGGGACACCCGCGAGGCTTCTGCCCCCCTCTGGGCAAACGACAATCCTTCACTCTGCAGTTTTCAGGCAAGAGGCCCACAGACACTGACTCCTGTCATAGGTCAGCAGCCCGAGAAGGGGACTGCCCCAGGGCCTGCTCTGGAAAGCCAGGATGCCTAGGTCCTCAAAGGAGGTGGCAGGAGCCTGGCCTCCAGGGCTAGGGACGGGGGAGGGGCGCCTGCTGGCGGGAGGCCCATTAGCCAGCTAAGTGCTCCCTGGGAGGGGGGGACCGCGCTGCACCAGGAGGGGGTGAAGCGAAGTGAGGGCACTGGAGCGGGTGGGGTGCGATGGAGAAGGGTGGGGTGACGTTTCCAGCACTCAGCTAAGTGTATGCACAAGGAGTGGAGTTGGGGGACAAGGTTCTGCGTCCCCCAGCTCGAATAGCTCCGCCTTTTCCACTCCTCCACGGGCTGATCTGGCCCGTCTTTAAGCAGCTGCAACACGCGTTCCTCCAGCCGCACCCCCCCACAGCCCGGTGGCTGCAAGCTCTCTCCCGTTTACCTCACGCCCCAGAAAAACCAAGTCCTGCTGAGCCCGCCAACGAAGCCCCACACCGCGCGTCCAGATCCGCTCTTGCCCCATCCTCCCTCTGGCTCTCAGGCTGCAGTCGCCGCCCCGGCCGCCAGGGGGCGCCAATGCGGGCCCGGGCGGGCCCTACGCGGTGGGAGGGGGCGGCACCGCCCGCCCGCCCGGCGGGGCGGGGGCGG